GGAGAACGAGGGCAGAAACGAACCGGACGGGGGGGAGGGGAAAAGCGAGCGAGAGCGACCGAGAGAGAGAGAGAGAGAGAGAGAGAGAGAGGGAGAGAGAGGGAATGTAATCGAATATCCTAGAATTTAATTCTATCGGTTCGTCCCGCGCGTTCGACTTTCATATCGCGCTTTTTTGCGACAGTCATTAAATCTAATTTATCGCGACGCCCGTGTCGCGTTTCAGGGATGTGTACCAGGTCGAAACCGGGGGGGAAGGGGGGGGGGAGGCCGGATTTCCACGATTCGATTCGAATCGAAAGACCCGCTCTCCCCCTCTCTCGTCCCCTGCCATCGCCGGTTGCCCCGACGATCCACTACTGCGTTCTTTCGCGAAAACTCGAGGCCTCGTCGCTCGATTCTCGTCTCGATTTCGAACCTCTGGCGTCGTCGCGAAAGAAAAGAAAACAAATGGGAAAAAAAAACGGAGGAAAACGATGGATCGATGATCGAGGGAAAGCGGAGGAACAAGAGAGAGAAAGAGAGAGAAAGAGAGAGAAAGAGGGAGAGTGTCCGGGCCGGTGCGCGGGCAGCAGATAACGACGAGAGGTTATAAATCTCCTTCCGGTCGGAATCGGGAGCGAAGCAATCTGCGGAATGGTCCGGTCATCCGTCCATCAAGTCACGCGTACCGCGCGACGTACAGTCTACGTATTAATATATCTCCGGGGCCGGGCCGCACACTCACGCACGCACGCACACGAACGTAGAATGCCACGTTCCAACTGTGTATCGTGTATTGTGTGTCGTGTGTCGTGTGTCGTGTATCGTGTGTATCGCGTGTTCCCTCTACGATGTATGGTGGACGATACGAGTGTCGTATAGTCTCGCGTAGGACACGGTGCACGTATGGCGTACGGCGTATGGTGCGTGGTCCCGGTGCATCGCGTACCTACGATACGGCTGCACACGCTGCGCGGGACGACGCGACGCTACACCACACACACACACACACACACACACACACACACACAAACACACATACACACACCGTTTCACCCTCTCTCTTTCTCTCGCCCTTCTCTTCGCGTATTTATGCGCGTTTCGATGGGAAAAGGCAGAGCGCGCAACTCACGGGACGCAAGATAATTTCTGATTTACCGCGGCTTCGTCAGAGCTGTCGCTCGGCGTGCGTGCATCCACACATCTCCATCCTCCACCCCCTCCCCCCACCCCCCGTCCCCAACTCTCTGTTGCGTCGCATTTTCAAAATGGAAACCATCCACGACCAGCCACCACGCTTCTTCGACTCGTTCTTCCGCTAATTACTCTCTCGTGCAACGCCAACGGTTTTATCACGAGGATAACGCGAGAACATCGCGTCAGATTTCCAACAAAGTCCAACGACAACGACGAGGTTGAAAAATTCAACGCGCGGTCAAACGGCGTTTCAAACCCCTCCCCCTCCCCTCCTTCTCTACAAGACCGCCATGAAGGCTGAATCGCGACGCGATCAAGACTGTCGGTTTTCTCGCCGCGCGCCACCTTCGTCCGTCCGGCGGCGGGCCACCGCCGGTGTTTTGCCTCGTTACATTATTACGCGAAACTCCCTGCGGGAATATCCGAGCGAAAGTTTGCGGTCGAGAATCGCCGCCTTTGTACCGTCGTTCCGCTGAATCTTTCACCACCCGTTTTTCCCGCCACGCGTTTTACATCTTTCAACGACCATCTTCGTTCTTCTTCTTCTTCTTCTTCTTCTTCTTCTTCTTCTTCTTCTTCTTCTTCTTTCAAACGAGCGACGCCCGTTGCTCGTTACTGTGCCGTTTCTAGGCGGGGAGGATCGACGATCGATCGAGACACGTTGCTTTTTCGGCAAACACTTCGCGGCAGTTTTGAGAACGAAAGAAAGAACGAGATTCGGCTTGGCCCGCGTAATTTCCGTATTCCGAGTATAATGCCATTATAGGCTAGTTTCCTAGGAAGGCAATTTTTGAAATATTCCAAACACGTATCATTATATACCGTAAGCCCTATTATGCGTCCCCCTATTACGAAACGAGCACTGTCTATTCCTAACACTCGTCTCCAAGTCTGTCCCTTCCTTCCGTCTGTTTGTCCGTCCGTTCCGAGATCGCACGACGAAATTACAACGCCCCCGTGGGGGGCACCTGCCAATTTCTTCCGGCTCCTCGACTCTGCGATCGCCTCCAGCCACACACGAACCAACGTCGTGTCCTCGACCAACCAACCAACCAACCAAGAAACGAAGAAAGAAAGAACAAAAATTTCTAATCGGTCATGAGCATACGCGAAACAGGGAGAGGAGACGCGCCGATGGCCGCTGAATTTGAAACGAGAAGGGGGGTCGACTTAAGATCATAGCGGCGATAGACGAAAACTCTCGATCACTTTTTTGACGGGCGGCGTAATCGAGTAGCTGCGAGGAGGATGAGGATGAGGATGAGGAGGAGAAGAGGGCGCGCAGACGGTGGACGGCCAGCTTTTTTTCCTCTCTCTATCTCTCTCTGCACGAAGAACGGGAACAGGGGGGGAGGGGGCTGCTGCTCTGGGGCGTCACGCGCATTTTAATACATCAAACTTTTCAATTTTGCCGCGGCCGCCCGGTATCGCGCGCGACTCTGCCCGTCGAAATGACGCTGCCGCTCCTGATATATCGCTTAGCTCGGTACACGCGTACATCAACTCGCGGAATCGATACGCGTGTGCGTGTATCAGCCGTTCCCCGCCTTCCCAAGGTGGAAACGTGGACGTGGACGTGGACGTGGACGTGTCGCGAAAACACAATCAAGACCGTGCCGGCAAAAAACACTAATTTAAACGGAACACGAAGGAAATATGTAGTCGCATCCGTTGCGTATCAGGATGAATGGCGCCCGCCCGGTTACTACGATTCACGATTTACCGTCCGCCGACTTTTTCCCCGCTCTCTCTCTCTCTCTCTCGTTCCAATCCATCCGACAGCAGTCGCTCGACTCTCTCTCTCCTCCTACCAACCACCAACGACGCGTACACGGGAATCGAGAGACGGGCACACGTCCGGGCCCGAAAAGGAGACAGGAAAAAAAAGGGGGGATAGAGCGAGAAAGAGGGGCGATCACAGCATGAGCATCCTCCAAGAGGATGGGCAAAGCCGTTATTGTCGGAAAAAGAAGAAAAGGACAACGCGAGGAGAGATTAAATTTTTTCTTTCTTCCAGCTAGGCTTTTCCAAGCTTCGCACCCGCGTAACGTGAAAGGGGCCGGCGTGTGTTGCCCCGAAATCGGACAATTTACATTTCAATTACCAATGGGTCGAACGACGGATCTACAAATCGTTAATAATCCATCCTTGAGAGTAGTACGTGTTTTCTCACAGGCGGGCAGTAGCGATTCTCTCTCATGTACGAAGGAACAACGCAACAACAACAACGAGAGAAGCTACCTGTTAGCTACTTTTTATCGCGCGTAATTCGCCGCCACTAAGTCGACCGTGAAACTAAGCTTTCGGCAGTTTTGCGATCGTTCGCGGAGGCGGGCCCGCGATTCTAACGCGGTATTAGTCATCTGCCCGCATCAATTTACCATTTTAATCGGGAGGAGCTTCGTCGAGTAGTATCTCGCGCGCGATAGCTGCGATACACTGGTTGGTGTGCCCCCGTGGCGTGTTATTACGATACCGAACAGGCACAGGCACACACAGAGAGAGAGAAAGAGAAAGAGAGAGAGAGAGAGAGGCATGCCCGGAGAATTGGAACGTGGTTGCGTTAACATAATGGAATTCCGCGGAATGTTATACCCATTATACATAGCCGATTGCGTCACCGCGCCGCGGTGATATATACCCGCCGATAGAAAAATAATAACTCGGCCTCGATTTTCCGCTTTGCTCGACAAACGACGAATCTCTCTATCGATATTTACCGATCTCCTCCTCCTCCTCCTCCTCTTTGGCGTACGTATCGTATCGTATCGAGGCAAGTAAACGGCCGCAGTCGATTCTCGATGCATCTACTTACGACTAGAGTCCGATTTCTCGCGGCTGGCGGCCGACCGAAAATCGTTTCCGGTACCGGAGGGTGGAAAGAAGACACCACGAGTAACGCGCACGCGGCCACTAGCTGTTCGTTTAATAACTTGCGCCGGTGGCGCAACGATAAATAATGCAGGAGACACACCGTCGTCCCGATGTAATTAACGAGAACAGTCGATACCCCCACCCACCCCCCTACACCTCCCATCTGCCACGCCGACGGTATGTGTGTGTCACGTACGCGCGAACGAGCGCATACGTAGTCAATATTTGTCATTCGTTTTAACAAAAAGAACGTTACAAAACGGTCGAATGCTCCGCGTCCAAATATTGACTATGCTCATTGACGTTCATTGATACTCTCAATTAGTGCACCATCGTCGAAGCCGATCGCCGGGTAATTGGACCTCTTCGGCAAAGGCTCGCGCGCCCACCGTGGCTCGCTCGCTCTCTTCCCTCTTCCACGCTCTCTGCGCCCGTTAGACGACGTTTCCGGGATAAAAACATTCGGTTCCCACCGGTCGTAATTGGAAGTTTCGCCGACCCTAACCTACGCGATTTCTCGTCTCTGCGATCACCTTTCTCTCCCTTCCTCCACTCCCTGCCCAGCCGTACACTCCAATTATAAACGCTTCGCGCGTCTTTTCCTCGCGCGACTTTGTCCAGGCCGCGCCGCGGCAGACGCGTACGAGACTCGGCACTCGGTTTTTCCAAGGTCGTTTCTCGCGAATTTCCCTCGCCATCCACGCCACGACGCGTTCGTTCTCTCCCACACACACACACACACACGCGCGCGCGCACGCCCGCACACATACACACACAGAGAGTGACGAAACTTTCTCGCTAAAGCGGCAACCGCCCGCGAATCTCGTTAACGTCGCGAAACCTAATTAACAACTTTCAAAAATGCTTTGACGTCCCATCGATTCCCATCTGTCTCTCTCTTTCTCTGTGCGTGTGCGCGCGCGCGCGCGTGTGTGTGTGTGTGTCTTTCTTCTCTGTCTCTTTCGGTCCATCCACGTATATGAAAAATTTCTAGCGTAAAAACTAGACGGAATCGAAGTGAAAAAAAAAGAAAGAAAAAGACTCACCCTTTCCTCCTCGCGAATCATCTCGGCGATGCCAGGCTTGATCTCGAGATCGTCCCCGGGTGTCGGCGGTTGGCCGGCCTGTTGATGATGCTGCTGCTGCTGCTGTTGCTGCTGCTGTTGCTGCTGTTGCTGCTGCTGCTGCTGCTGAACGGAGAGCTGCTGGCCGTGAGCGGTCAGGTGGTTGACGGAGGCGTGGGGACCGGAAGTCACGTGGCCGGGCACGTGGTGAGCGGATATCGAGTGCGGGGTCTGCTGGCCGGGCTGAGGGGGCGGCGGCGGCGGCGGCGGCAGGGGCAGCGATACCGGAAGTTCCTGGAGGTTGATCTGCGGCGTGACGGAGACGATGCCGCCGCCGCCGGGCGTGCCGGGGGATCCGAGGGACCGCGGGGTCGAGCTGCTCGGTAGCATGCTGTGAATGTCCGGCACGATCACGCCCGCCCCGCCGCCTTGGCTCGGGTCCTGATCGTCCGTGGGGATGCCGGTGCCGGTGATGATCCGGTCCGGGCTGCAGTTGGGCGGCGGCGATCTCTCGCCGGATATTCGACGCCGTTTCTTCCTGTGCATGGCCGCGGCGGCCGCGGCGGCAGCGGCCGCCGCCGCTGCGTTCGCCGCCTCCTCCAAGCTGGACGATCTCGAGGTGAGCTCGTGCTCGTTGTTCACGTCCGCCAGTCCGCGAATCTTCAGGCTCTCGGCCACCTTGAGCAACGGGCCGATCTGCTCCTGCGACACGTTGATCTCCCCCTTGTACATGAACTCGACCGCGGCCTTCAACTCGGGCCACTTAATGTCCTTCATGATGACGATCGGATGCTGGCAGGGATTGTCGAAGAAGAGCGCCTGGAAGTACGGGCTGCACGCCGACAGCACCATTTTGTGCGCCTTCACGCTGTGGCCGTCGCAGGCCAACGTCACGTCGACGAAGCTCTCGCTCTGGAGCAGCTGGTCGAACACGTTGGTCAAATTTGTCTGGTAGTTGTTCCACCTCAGGCAGAACTGCTGGGGCGACCCAGCACCGCTTTGCTGCGTCATGTTTTCCTCCACGTCGTCGTCGTCGTCGTGGTCGTCGTCGTCGTCGTCGTCGTTATTGTTGTTGTTGTTGTCGTCGTCGTCGTCGTCGTCGTCGTCGTATCTCCTTCTCTTGACCCGATTCTCTCGAATTGCCGTTCCTCTTTCACTCTCGCTTCCGTTTCCGTTCCCGTTCTTCCCGTTGTCCTTCTCTTTCTCCACCTCTCCTCTTCTTCCCACCGCCTCCACCTCCGCCACCTCCGCCGCCGCCTCCACCACCTCCTCCTCCTCCTCTCGCTGCTCCTCGTTCTTGCACTCGTGCTCTTTGCTCTCCTTCTCCTCCACCTCTTCTTTCTTTGCTTCTTCCACTACTACTACCGTTTCCGCTTCCACTTTTCTCTTCTCTTCTTCGTCCTCCTCTTCCTCCTCCACCCCCTCCTCCTCCTCCTCCGACCTTCCGGCGCGGACTTTCGCGCCTCTTGCCTCCGTTTCTTCTTCTTCGGATCGAGGAAAGGTGTTTTTGTCTGTCTCGGTGGCGCTCCTTTTACAGATTATCGATGGTCGCCAACGCGGCTCGATCAACAGCTAGACCGCATCTGCGAACACACACGTACACACAGCCACCCGAGAAATTGCCCGCCAACCACGCGCGTTCGTTCTCTCTTTTTTTTTTTCTTTCTTTTCTTTCTTTTCCTCTCTACGCGTCAAACAGGTGCGCCACCGCGGCGATCTTGCACCCGAGTATTATCCCGCGATCCAACATTGTCTGTCTTTTCTACCGCGTTCGCAGATCTCTCGCCTTCTCTCTCGTCGAATCTCGTTTCTCTTTCACGCGTTACGAACCGTTACATCACGCGATCCATCGTTTTCCGAACAACTTCTCGCGCCAAATCGACCCGAGATTCACGGCGTCGCGACTCGAGCCGGTCCCGACCAACCGGCTGGCGTGCGCCAGGGCGCGCGCGCTCGCGCGCCACTTTCGAAAACGCGAACGACCGCGGACGTAGTCGGTGCCGCGCGCGCACGCCTCGCGTTCAGTCTTTTGCCGCCACTATTGCCTCTCTCTCTCTCTCTCTCTCTCTCTCTCTTTCGCCTCGTCGACACACGACGCAGTGTTGTCTTACTCGGTCCGAGCACAAACCAACAACAAACCAAACCAAATTCGAACAAACGTTTTCTCCTCCGGCCTTGTTCGTCGCGGGAATCTCACGCTGTCCCCCTTCGACAGACACGCACAGACCCGTAAAACAGCACTTTGACGTACAACGACGAACGAGGCTTCTTCGTCTTAACGGAACGTCGCAACGGGGAGGGAGAACGAGCCGTGCGTCGTGTTATGTCGTGTGTGCGGTCGCGCGCGTTGCGAAGAGCGATGGAGCGACACGAGGAAGCGCGCACGAACTGCACCCCGTGACGAGCGCGTCGCAACTGACGAGGCTCTCGCGGCGGCGACGGTTCGCACGAACGGCAGTAGAGAGAGGTCCGTGAGGCGGCCGAGCGCCGATACGCCGTGTGTTTGCAGCGGTGCCAGCGCCGACTCGTGGCTCGCGGCACGAGGGGCGAGGAAGTTACGTTGAGGGGACGTGAGGGGAAGACGAAGAGGCGCGCGGCCGCCACACGGACGGCGGGGAGGGGGGTGAGTGGCGCGTGGGTGCGACGGAGAGAGAGAAAACACGAAAGAGATAGAGTGAGAGAGAGAGAGAGGCGAGGTTCGAAAGAGAACGGCCAAGGCGGCTCGACTCGATTCCACTCGACACGACTCGACTCGATTCGGCTCGGTTCGGCTCGGTCGGTCGGTCGGTCGGTCGGTCGGTGCGGCAGGGACACGAGAGCAGCCGAGCGCGAGACGAGGAGGAAACGTGCGAACGGGACGGCCGGCCGAGCGATAAAGAAGAAACCGGAGGGGGGAGAGGGCCGTTCGCGCGAGCGAGAGTAACGACGCCGGTGCGACAAAGACACCGCGACGCGCTCGAGACCACGAAGAGAGAACCGTCGCGGGTGGAGGAAGCAACGTAGCTCGCGCGTCCTCGCGTTCCCCTCGCACCGCCGTCGCATCGGCCAATCGGGTGGCTCACCTTCCGATCGGACGCGCCGACAGGCGCCGCCCCCGGAGACCGCCTCATACCGCCTCTCCTTCTTTCTTGCTCGCGCGATCGGCCGCCTCTCGCTCCTCTCGCCGCCACGAAGAAGAGAAACTCTGCCGCCGCGGATCCACCGAGAGGAGGCCCGCCACCGCCACCGCCACCGCCGCCGCCACCGCCGCCGCCGACGCCGATCGGCCTCGTGAAACTCCCGATTCACCGATGACGAAGAGAGAGGAGGTCACGATACCCGCCATCCGATGGTAGTGGTGGTGGTGGTCTCGCTGCTACCACCGTCGTCGTCGTCATCGTCGTCGTCGTCGTCGTTGTCGTCATCGTCGTTGTCACTGCCGGTTGTTCGTGTTCTGTTCCGATTCGCGTTCCTGTCGTGTTCTTCTTCTTCTTCTTCTCCTTCTTCTTTCTCGGAGAAGACTCTCTTCTCACGGCCTATCGCCTGTCGTGATCGACCGCCATGTTTACCAACGGGACGTTCGATGACCGATCATCGTCTCTACCGATCTATCCTCGCCACCTTCCTCATCGTTCGACACGTTCCTCCTCCGTTGGTCCTTAGTATCCCGCGAACAAATGAAAATCTGGCTCGAACTCGCGGCGTGCTTGGTTCCGCGCCCTGAGACTTAAACGAGTGGATCGCCTCTGACTGGCCGAGAGCTCGCCGAAAAGAGGAATCCGCGGTTTTTCGCATTATCGTGAGAAACACACGCACCGAGACGACGATTGTTTAACCGTTTGCGCACCGTTGTCCCTTCTCTCTCTCTCTCTCTCTCTCTCTCTCTCTCTCTCCGAGAGACAGCAAAAATAAATCAACGGGCCGCGTTTAGGGAGTGGTGCTTGCCGATAACGGAGTTACCGGCTCGCCGGTAGAAAGGAGAGATGGCCTCTCTAATGAAATTAGAAGGGTACAAAGAGACGGTTCGCGTCTGTCCCTCCGACTCCGGCAGACGCTCCTAAATGGCTATTAACGCGAATTTCGGGACTATCTCCGTCTCTCTGCCTCGAGTGCCTCCCTCGCGGCACACGGGTCCCTCGATTGCCCGCACCGGCTTCTTCTCGCGAGATCCTTCCTTCCTTCCTTCCTTCCTTCCGAGAAACTCTCCAATTTCGCAATTCCTCTTTCGCGTTTCCCGCTACCACCGATGGACGCCGCGAGTTACGTTATCGTGGACGCGATATTAGCCTACTTGCTCAAACGAGAGTAAAAAAGACAAACTCGAGGAGATCTACGTTTAAATCTACGATGTTTCGTGGAAACCATTCTATCATTCTTGAGCGTTTCGTTTTATTTCGGTGTGCTTAACCTCTTGCGCTGGAATTATGTGCCACGAACGTCGAGGATTTTTTGTCCCGAAATTTCAACGTTTCTTCCAAGTTTTATTAAGTATATTTAAGTACAATCTAGGCAAAATAAATAAAGATATTTATTACTTCTCGATAATTTCTATTCAGTGATATCGTATCGATGAGTTCAAAAGCAAAAGAAAGCGACAAATTGTTGTGTACGGTTCGGTCACTCGTTATGGTCCGCAATCAGTCGCCAGCGCAAGTGGTTAAACTAACCTCAAAGTTGGGGGTCCGGAAAATATATTTTATTTTGTCGAATATCTCGGAAATTACTGCAGGTACTGTTTTTGCGTAAATTGATGGGATTTTCCACTTATAAGGGAACGATTTTGATGAAATTTTGCGTGAATGTAGTTTTCGAAAAAGTAGTCTTTCCATCGGCAATCGTCGATGTTAAAGGGATGAAAAGTAACCTCAAAGTTGACGGCTCGAAATATATTATATTTTGTCGAATATCTCAAGAATTACTAAAGGTACTGTTTTTGCGTAAATTTATGGGATTTTCCACTTATAAGGGAACGATTTTGATGAAATTTTGTGTAAATGTAGTTTTCGAAAAAGTATTCTTTTCAAGTATTCTTTTCGGCAGTCGTCGATGTTAAAGGGATGAAAAGTAACCTCAAAGTTGACGGCTCGAAATATATTATATTTTGTCGAATATCTCGGAAATTACTGAAGGTTTTTGCGTAAATTGATAGGATTTGCTAACTTGTAAGGGAACACACGATTTTGATGAAATTTTGAGTAAACGTAGTTTTCGAAAAAGTATTCTTTTTATTGATAATTGTCGATGTTAACGCCGAGAAATTCCTTGACCCAAAATTGCAACATTTTTCTGAGTTTCAAGTATATTTAAGTATAACCTAGGCAAAACAAATCATAAATTTATTACTTTTCAATCATTTCTATCCAGTGATATCATACCGACAGGTTCAAAAGCAAAAGAAAGCGACGAATTACTGTGTGCGGTTTGGTCACTCGTTATGGTCCGCGAACCAGTCGCCAGCGCAAGGAGTTAATTACTTCTAGACGATGCAAAATTGTGTTAAAATGGTTTTTCGGTGTTTCTTTGAAAAATTTTCAATTTCATCGGTATTTACGGTATTTACAGAAACTTGACATTTCATCCTTTAGAAATTATTCCGCGAAAAGACACCACTGAAAATTCAAAATGTGGAGGATACTTGAATTCTTGTCAGTACACGAAAAGAAGTGAAAAAAAAGATCAAATATTTGCAAAATTAAAATGATCCGAGACAAATTTAATTTAATTTTGTACCGATTTTGTTTGATTTCTTCAATTATCGTTACTTTCAAGCGCGCGTTTCCTTCGTTCGTTTCGTCGCCATGAAGTACAGTACAGTAAAACGTGCCAAAATCACAAATATGTACAAATTTTGCCTAAATTTTACCACAGGCAGCAAAAGCAAATTCTTTTCGACACGACGGAAAGAAATTCCATGTTTTCGTGACGAGTACACTCGACACACATATAAACGATCAATGGGTTAAATCTACGCGCGTCACTATCAAATTCTTTCGCGACGACGAGTCGACTCGTCGTATGCAGTTCAAAGACGGTTCAAAGCGTAAACGCGCGGATCGAGGCTCTCCAGCTTCGATGTTGGAGCAACGATACTCGCGGGACTGCCACACAGAGGGAATACGACGTTCGGTTTTTACGGCTGGTTGGATTGCGTCGCGATAAAAGCGCGAGGGACGTTTACGTTGCGTTGCTTCGTCGCGAATGATCGAAACTTTTCCTTCATCGTCTTCGTCAAGAGAACTATGAAGAAAAACTGTGAGCATGGGTACCTAACAGCCGAATATGGAGCCGAATATGGAGCCGAATAGAAGCGTTCGTGAACGTACGGAGCATCTTTCTTTGTCAACTATGAACGCAATTATCTAGAAGCCCCAAAACGAAGTGTCGCGTTTCTTTCGTCTTTGTCAACAATGGCCACAGCTGTGTACTACTCACAAAAACTAGGGGATATTTCGAAATGAGAACGAAGCGTTTGATTTTTTTGTTATTGAACGAGAATGTCAGAATAGCGAACGACTGAAGTCAAATGTCTGATGTTCTTCTCTAATAAAAAGAAAAAATCAGATGCTTCTATCTTTTATCGCTTCATTTTCACTTTTAAGTATCC